TGCTGCAGCCATTGTTGCTTCAGTGCGACAGTTCATTTCGGGGCCAATAAAAGCCTTCGCACCTTGAGCCCAGTGTTCCATGAAAAATCGAGTACCTGCAAAAAAATATCAGCACAGTTCGGCTATTTTCTCGTGATAGAATCACTTAACAAAGCTTTAGCCGTTTTGAGATTTCCCTGGCGTGTTTTTCAAAAATCGTAATTCTTAAACCACGATTTGGTATCACACAAGGAATTTTCTAATTCCAGCAAATGTAGAATGTTTATACTTAAAAATCCTAGTGAATATGTGGAAAAAACTAACTTTGCAGTTCATCGCCACATGTATTATTGAAAATATATGTAAGTTTATGCTTTGGAAGCAATGCGGGATCCGCATTCACATCATCCACAGCAACTTGCAGTGCACCAGAGATCATCGAGCCTGCAAAATGCCATGTAGATTTCAAAAAAAAAAATTAATGATAAGTATAAAAAAGTTTGCATTTTTATAAATTTGCACAAAAAAAGAAGAAATTTATAAATCAAGAAATGCTTCCCGAACTGCGAATATGATTTAGAGGCAATGGAAATTAGTGCAATAATTCTACATTGTGTTTTTTTAGACCAAAAATATAGCGTAAATTACAAGTTTACCTTCAAAATCGGTTCGAAAACATTTCGACAAATGGCCATAATTTTTGTCACCTTCTGCTGTTTCAACATTGCTTACCTTAAAAAAAACATAAATATATGATGAAACCGTTTATCTGAATAAACATATACGAAGATTTTCGCGGCTTACTGGTTATCACTGTGAGAAAGTAAAATCCGATGGGCAGGATATGTTGCTCGCCTTGCTGACAACCAATGGATGTTGTATCTTAGTAAGGGGTACCCGCCAAAAGAAAACGACCACTCGGGCGACCTCCAAAGAAGTGGCAGCAAAAACCAAACGGGGATAAGCACTAGCTGGATGTATGCAATCTCGGATTTAAAGGACCAGGTACAATAAATCCAGCGCTTAAGAGAATCTCAATAAAATTACCAACATGGGATACCCACAGTGACTGTTCATGCAGTCTTGATATTCTCTTACTACATGATGCAACCGTATTTTTGGCAAAAATCGAAAAAGGCCAGTTTTTTACATTGTAAATGTATAAGTTTTACTGTTACTGCAGCTAGCAATCCGAAATTAATGCAATTAGCACCCTCCTTAACTACTAACAGCATCCTGTATTACCAATATGGAGCTCTTATTGTTGGCTGAAATCAGTAGTATTAGTAGTTAAGACCTTTTTACATGTAAAAAGGCCAATAGGAAGGCCACCGATGTACTGATCCGATCCGCTATCTTGATTATATGGAGTATTGTGGATGAGGCGAGCTCAGGATAAAATTCGGTGGCGTGGTTGTCGGCTCAGTCACTGGAGCAGATCAACAGCGCGTCAGTGACGGAAACGCCTTATCAAGGTGAAAAGTAAAAGACGCTCCAGAAGCACTAGTATTTTTTGAAGCTTCGATGCAAACACTCCCGTTATCCTCGGATTACCTCTGTGGCGATCCCGGAGTTAATGAAATCAATGAATTATAAAAAGACGCTTCCCCCCCCCCCCCCCCCCCCCCCCCCCCC